TGCGGAGAAGACGTCGTCGTAATCTGGCTTGTCGGAAGGCTGCTCGATCTATGTTTCCATTGGCATCATACACCGTGTCTTCTGGCAAGAGACCATCGTGTTGTTGCCGGAGACGTCGTTGTTGACCGCCACAAAGGTTTCCAACTCAGTAACCTTGTCGGCTAGCGTGGAAATCCGTTTGTCCAATCTCTCCATGCTGTTGCCAATGTTGAGTTCATTGAGTGCATCAGTGACGGCCTTCCTGATGTCCTCATTCATCCTTTTTTGGGTATTCTCTACAGTAGCTTGCAGTTGCTCTTGGCTGACACACTCATTGAAATCCTTGGGATTGTTATCTCTAGTCTGATCATCTCCTGCCATTGTAAACACAAAAACAGGAACAAACGATGAAAGTTATCCCTATCAAATGACTACGTGGTTGTAGTGGTGTCACTTTTCATAGCAAGTGGAAGCGTCTTACCAAGCTCTTACAAAGTTCTTACCAACGCAAGCAGTGGGCGGTACAACCGGTGGCTGGTTCGTGATACATGTGAGACAGTGGTACCGAGATTACAAGGGCATTTTTCTGTACTGATCTGAAGAGTTTGTGGAGCTTGGAAGGCACACAAAGAATAATATGTATATTTAGCACACAAGTTAGTAACAGAAAGTAATCCTGAATTATAGTCCAAAGTACTTGTTCTCGTTGCTGATCTAAAATCTTAAAAGTGTCAGGTGTATGACAAATAAGTATAGTGGATAACAAGGTGCCAGGTGTGTGACAAACAAGTATGGTGGATAGCAAGAGCAACACGAACAAGGAACCAGCCAGCACACGCAAACACAGCTTAAATGGCGCTCTATGTGCTCCTCTAGATATTGTTCCACTTTTACCCTTATCTTTTTTCTCTATTTTTGGGATGTCGTTGTTTTTTGGGATTCTTTGACTTTTTCTTTTTATTTTTTTGATATTTTTTCTTCACTTAGGAGTACAAAAGAAGTAACCATAGAAAATATGAGCTTAAACAAGTGAAAGGCGTGGCCTGTGGAAAATTCAGAAGGCTTGTGACCACGAAAAGAGGATCTTGTGACCAGTTTTTGACCAAAATAAAATTTTTCGAACCCGACGAAGTGGGGGACGAGCGGATTCAAAAAAAAATTTAATCGATTTTGATATATGGAACGTCGAAATCCGAGTTCGTATGCGAAAATTAAACCAGTTTTGAGAACTAACTCCGAATTAGAGGACAAAACGGAACAATACGCGCAAAATTGGTCACGGCAGCAAGGATTTGATGGAAACGATGGGGAAAACACACGAACTGGACTCTAACACGACCTAACCAGCAACAAGACCTCGACCAGGAAACAAACTCAACACGACGGACTCTGAAACTGAAATATGCAAAGGCTATGGCGCGGAAGGTTCTAGGACAGGAAAAAAACGAGTATGGCACTGGACTATGGGACGAATGCGAACACTCAAAACTAGGGGATAAATGTGAACCTGACGGTATACCTTAGCTCTAATACCACTTAATGGGGACGGAGATCCCGATCTTCCATCAGGTAGAGGTAAATATCGTTGTGGCGGAGAATGACACACCGATCCGGCTTCAGATCGAAAGATCGAACCCTGCAATCTTAGCACCACAACTCCTCTGGTTATCAACCGAGACTCGTATCTGGTTGACCTCGCCAAGAAGGCTAACCCCTGCCTGCGCAACGAAGAACATAAGCATGAACAAGAAAGAAAACAACCAAATTACAGATGAATGATTAATCTCACGATGTTGGGATCTCACAAACCGATAAACAGCGAAACTGTTCTTGACAGATTAATCTAAGCAAAACCTAAACCCTAATGGAGGGATGACGGCTGTTTATGAAGACTCTAGGGTCATGCAAAGACCTCTAGACGCACTCCCTAATGAGCCCAAACACGATACACGGTCCAACGGACCAAAAGACGGTGTCACAGCACCCTAGCAGATTCTGGACGCTGACTTGTTCCGATAATTCCTTTTGATTCCGAAGGGCTTTTGACGTGAGACCACTTGCATTGGCTTCCTTATCTAATTAGCTTTCCATCCATATGTGGATCGTAAAAAATGGAGCTCGGACATGCCTGTGTGACCAGTTTTATGACAAACTGGTCCTAGAACCCGAGATGGGCTCCAACTTCAGTTGGACTAGGCCTCCAGCTTGTGTTGGTCGTCCTTGCTGGTCTTCTCCACCTCTATACTCTTCTCCAAGTTCCTCAAGACCATCTCCTATGTTTCTAAGCAAGATAACATCATTAGATAGTAGTCTATTCTGAAAAGTATGAAAAAGGATCGCTTAAGAACGAGCTCACCTCTAAATTGAGTTGACGCATTCGAGCTCGGGTCATTGGACCTTGCATAACGGTTGGAGGATCAGCGGGTACATTCGAAGGAGTGATGTCCTCGTCAGCTCTTATCCATCGTTTCTGATACCCATTATGTCGCCGTGCCCATTTCCCAATAATTACCATAAGGTCGGTCTGGAATCACGTCTGTTTCATCCATCCCGTTGATTTGCACTTGAATCAGGAAGTGAACCTAACTCAATAGGTTTGGTAAGAGATGTGGTAATGCACCAAACCACCCATGTTTAAGTCCCATCTTCATTGGATATGGGTGCCTATTTTCTCTTTTTAATGAAAAACCGCATAGTTCCTTTCTCCTCCTAGGTTGGATCTCATTTTTTTTATTTGCGCTTGAATCTCTTCCGTCATTTCTAGCCCATTGTGGTGTCGTGCAGATTGTGGCAAAATCTAAAAATTAACTACCTTTTACCTGATTTTTTTTTCAGATCGTTTCCAAACAACCATTGACACGTCCTGGTAACCACTGGGCTACAGTCTTTTGCAAATACAAACTAGTATATTTAGTCTAATAAACTTGGCTTGCTGTACTACCGTTTTCCAAATAAAAATCTTATCTGCTTACTCTGTTTTTCCCCATAAACCAGCGGCCTAGTGTTGAATTTCATACGCCTACTACTATCAATCGCCTATATGGCTAGTATATGAACGGCTGCTGCTTGTGTTTGAACGGCTGCTGCTGATGCCGCCGGCCGCAGCCATTCTTGGCCTTGTTTAGACCAAAGTTCTTAATTTTTTGGATGCATGTACGTCTAATCGCTCGTTTATTTGTCACAATTACGAGAAGAATCTTTTGAGCCTGGGTTAGTCGGACAAAAGTTTGTCCCAATCCAATCTATTTGGTCCGCCGTCTGCTCACATTTTCGCCGGGATCCCAATCCCATGCGTTGTTTGACTTTGACCTTCCAAAATCAAGCAAGTGATATGCAGAGAGAGAGTGTGTGTGGGCCCCACGGGCGGGTACGTACGGAAGTACCGTTGGGTGTCCGGCTCCAGATGCGCTTTTATAAAAATCGGCCTGCTGCTGTTAGGACAGGTGCTAGCTGGAGTAGTACCTGCACTACACACTGTACCGTGTGGAAAGGCCAAAGCTAGCGTCGTTGGGTCAGCTTCTTGCTGTCCCTTCGGTTCCGTTCCGTTCCGTCGGTTGCGTCTCCTCTCTCGGCTCCCTACCTCCTGCTATATATCAGGGCTCTCGCTTGGCTAGAGGCTCAGCTTCTCCTTCCTCGCCTACGCCTAGCTGCCTCTCCGTTCGATCAGCTACCACCCCCGGCCGACCAGTTGCCTCCACCGGCCATAGCTGCTGCCAGGTCGTTCCTGGAAAGAGCAGTTCAACTTCAGAGAGGTAAGGTCTATTTGAGTAGAAATTAGCTTTATGCTACTGTTACTTTTGGTTTTGGATTGTTGGATATCTGATGGTAGGTGGTTTCAGCTTCAGCCGCATGCATGCAGCTATGGGTGTTCTTGTGTTTGAACTTCCTTCGTTCTCTTTTATTCTACTCCCTTTTGTCATGCTTTTTTTTTTTCTTTTTCCTTTTCCGTTCCAGTTATTTGCCTTTTCTTCTCGATCGATCTCCTCTTTGGCTGTTCTTGGCTTCTTGCATGCGCCGCCAAGAGCGAGCTGAGGGATGCGTGCGTGCATGGGTTCCTGCTGTGGTTTCTCTTGTTGCAAATTTGTCATCGCGCGCGGTTACACCTTGGGTATATAGCGGTAGCTTATCACAATTATATTTTCGCTTTATTTTTCTGTATCTCTGTCTTGCTTTGTCGACGGCTACCATGTGCATGCATTCTCTTGACCTAGCTAGCTACCGAGGCTCTGAATAAGTATATCCTTGGTGCGATAGCTAGCAAGGACACAGAAGCCAGCGACTGACTTCTTTTTGTTCTTACTAAACTGCTACTGGTGTGCTAGTTTGTTTCTTTTTCTTTTCCTATGGGTGGTTGTGCCCTTGTTTAGTGATTAGCTAGTTAGTTGTTCTCTACTCTTGATTTCAACGCTCTCTCACTTGGATCGGTGATGTGGTGGAGAATAACACGCATTTATCAACTCTCATGTGCTTCTCCGTTTTTCTTTGTTCTTGGACATCTCGCCTCTCTCAAGAATATTTATATATATGGCTTGATTTTTTCTTTGGAGCGCTATGAAGTTGATATTGAAAGCTTACGTTTTATCTCAAGTTTCCTAGACCCTAGAGCAAGAAATATATACTACAGTTAAAAACCATCCTTTTCTAGAGAGGACCTTTCGACAGTGTTTTCATTTGTTTCCACTTGTGCCTTCTCTCACCAAAACATCTTTTCATGGCCAATAGCATTCCTGATTGTAACATCCACAGGACCACAATCAATACCAGTGCCCACCCTAGCGTTGTTTCTTGTTAGCACGGGTGTCACACATGTCCCAATCTTTTTTTTTTTTTTGAAAGATGTCCCATTCTTATTTAGTTGCATAGTACATCTTAGGCGTACGTACACCCATGGTGGTGTCAATTATGTCTGTTGTCTCTTCTCCTCTGATCTCTGCAATCGTCTTTACTGATGATGGCATCGTCTTTCTTTCTTCTTTTCCATTGGTTATCAGGAGTGGAGAGAAGCTAGCTAGCTACGAGACATGAGGGACATGGGAGAGAAGAGGAGACATGGGCACGGCCATGGCCATGGCCATGGACATGGCCATCTTGTTGGGTTTGGAGTCGGAGGGGTTGGACATGCAGAGCATGAGGAGAAGCGCATGGAACCGAAGAAGCTGGACATGAGCAGCATGTCCATGGACACCCTGCCACATCTCACCACGCCCCTTGGCAACATCACTACCTTGGATCTCTCCAACAACAACCTACAGGTATATATTTTTAGTCCGTGGTAGGTTTCCACTTTTGATCAGCAATTCTTGCTTCTTGTGTTGCTATCTTTTGCATGTGTTCCTTGTCGTTCTACTTTTGTTGTTTTCCTCATCTAGTTAGAGTGATCATCCTTGTCTCCCATTTGTTCTCTCTATTAGAATGGATAACACGCAAAACACTTATCTTATATGGTGTTGCATATTATTATATCGCAGTGTGATAAGTTAACTGCAAACCTAGCTAGTGTGAGATAAGCATGAATTGTTATTAATATATGAAGGATAGCTCATCAGCTATCTAGTCATCTTCTCACAATATCTTGTTATTGCTTTGCCGCTTGGCTTGGCCTCTTGTATGTCATACATGGGGATGGAAGAAAAGTATACCTAGCTGCTCTGCTCTGCTGTTCATTATTTGGTGGATGGAAGAATACAGTATACATCTCATAACTAACGTGTTGTCGTTGAAAATGAAAACCACAGAGCATTCCGGAGTCCATAATCGCGAGGCTCCTGAACGTGGTGGTGCTGGACGTGCGGTCCAACCAGCTCAAGTCGCTGCCCAACTCCATCGGCTGCCTCTCCAAGCTCAAGGTCCTCAACGTCTCCGGCAACCTGCTCCAAGAACTGCCAGCCACCATCGAGGAATGCCGGTAAGTAACCATCGTCCATATGGCTACCTAGCAAATAAAGTTCTCGACACACACATGCATGCAAGCATATGAGCGGCACTGATTCACTCACTGGCTTGCTGCTGCATGCCTACGTGACATGTATGTACCAGTGCGCTGGAGGAGCTGAACGCCAACTTCAACCAGCTGACGAGGCTGCCGGACACGCTGGGCTTCGAGCTCCACGGCCTCCGGCGGCTGTCCGTCAACTCCAACAAGCTGGCGTACCTGCCGTCGTCCACCTCCCACATGACGGCGCTGCGGTCGCTGGACGCGCGCCTCAACTGCCTGCGCGCGCTGCCCGACGGGCTGGAGAACCTCGGCGGGCTGGAGGCGCTGAACGTGAGCCAGAACTTCCAGTACCTGCGGGAGCTGCCCTACGGCATCGGCCTCCTCGTCTCGCTCCGGGAGCTGGACGTCAGCTACAACTCCATCGCCGCGCTGCCGGACTCCATGGGCTGCCTCACCAAGCTCGCCAGGTTCAGCGCCGTGGGCAACCCGCTGGTGTGCCCGCCCATGGACGTCGTCGAGCAGAGCCTCGACGCCATGCGCGCCTACCTCAGCGCGCGGATGAACGGCACCGCCAAGGCCAAGAAGAAGAGCTGGGTGCCCAAGCTCGTCAAGTACAGCACCTTCTCGGCGGGGATGATGACGCCCGGCCGCACCAAGGTGCACGGGAGCAGCTCCGATGGCCTCCATATGTCGGATTACCGGTCGCTCGACGGCGGCGGCATTGCGTCGCCGGGGTTCCTCAGCATGCTGTCGCCCCGGCGTCTCTTCTCGCCCCGGAGAAATTCGACCAAGCACTAGTAGCTTAGTACGTAGTGGTCACTGGTCCGGCGAGCTATACATTATGCATGTGTGCTCCCTCCTTATTGCTGCCTGTTCGCTTGCTGCATGCTTCGAGTGTTCATCAGATGTGCTATGCTCGTATTGTAGCACAAGCTAAAGCTACTGATCTTGCTACTGCAGGTGTATATGCTTTCAATTGAAGAGAGGTATATCTGAAGTGTGTATAGTAGTACGTACTGCAGTAGGGCATTGATGTACAGAAGAATTAAGGGTGTCTTTTTTTTGTTTCATTGTTTACATGACATGTGCACTGCCACTGCACTAATGCTTATGCTGGAGTAGTCTTTTTGAAGGAAATTGTGTCATCTACAGTATATGTTCAGTGAACCTAAGACTTTAATTAGTGGAAATACTCTCGAGTCTATACTCACTTGGCCAGGAAAAGGTTGAATTATTGCTATGGTAAGCAATTACAGGCGTGGAACTGGTTATCCTAAGCACCTCATCCTCTAAAACCTTCCTATAGACATTGCAGGTGTAGCAGAAAACTAATAGTTGTATAACTGCCATCTGACGGACAGTTTTGTACATGATGCACTATGGTTTTCCAACCTACTGATTTGTATAATTTTTTAGAGTTCAAGGGAGAACCCCGGGCCATTAGCATTGCTATCAGGACCGAGATCAGGTTCAGAACGTTTACAGCATCAAGCATGTGTCATCCAAAATAGAGCACAAACAAGCTCATGAGCCCTTCAGTTCAGATTCAGATACAAGGAAAAGAAACTACCACCACCAACAACTAGCACACAAGAACTAAAACAAACACTAGATGCCACCAAAAAATTGCCCAATGATGAACAGTATCATCACAGTTAGCAAAAGGGATCTCCCGCCTAGGTTCAGAGCAAGGTCTTCAAAGGTATCAACCAAACAATCAAGCATGCCCTCCATCAGGTACTAGTCACCGAGATCTTTTCTGGGCTGGAGGCTAGCTTCTCCAACTCGTCCAACACCACCTTGTATTGCTCCAGGTGACAGGGTATATTAGTTCCCAGTTTTTGAGCATTATTGAGATGGATCGCCAAATTTGCCACATACCTCGCCACCTGCCATTCTGAAAACATAAAGAGTTTCTAAGTTTCCACAAGCTCCACATTGCAGCAGCACCGCACACATTCAACACAACATGTTTTCTCTCACTCAACCAAAATTCAGCAACAGCTTCGAAGTTATAGACTTTGTTCAGATTAACTACATGGACTAGCTGTAACCACATTTGTTTTGCCACCACGCAGTCAAAGAAGAGATGATGTACTGACTCAAAATCTGAGCAGGAAAGGCATGTTGTATCAACAAGAGCTTGCCGTTTAGCTACATTATCTCTTGTCAAGATCTTGCTCTTTGATAGGAACCATAAAAAAACATGTACCCTGGAGGGTATACGCAATTTCCACACTGCTGGCGTATGCACTAGTTTTACACCCCTAAATTGACCAAATGATAAAGGGATTGAGAGTATTGCCCTGTGGTAGGAGGTGATGCTAGATGCCAGCTGCACCACCACCTCCCACTTCCTTGCTGTCTCACTAGTCACTATCTACACATCTCCTAAAAGATGCATCTGAGATGTTCTCCATCCCAGAGATCAGCAACAGTAGCAGTTTGTTCATTCACCAAAACGTAGAGTCTACTGATTTGTATATGCATGAACGTGTAGTGCCTTCGTTAGCTGAAATAAAACCTCTAGGGCATGTTAGTTGGGAAATGGGCTGAGATAATCTAAGACAGAAATGATAATCTCTCTCCAATCCAAAATACTTCATCACTTTATCCACCTTAATGAACTGCTGAGACAGGTATACAGTAAGTGAATGGACAATCATGGAAAATCAGAAGGCATAGTACGACACAAATATCTCCGTTACATTGCTGAAACATCTAATTATCTATGGCTTTGTTGCTAGCAGAACATGTCATGGAAACAGACATGTGCAGTTCTGAAAGTTTTGATCATCCTCTGTAATGACAGCAGACAGAGCGATGAACAATAGACGTTCTTTGCTTATTTGCAAAGCTTGAGCTTCTTGAAGAATGAAGAAACCTGTGACTTTGGGCAGGGTGCTGTGGCTATGCATGTTGGGATGTTCTCAGGCTGCTCTATCCACAGCTTGTGCCGGACACCAGCTGCTTCCAGTTTCTCGGACAGGTTCTTTAGCTGTGTCTCTCCTTTCACCTCCAGTGTTACCTGCATTTAGATAAAAGATGACCAAATTATTTGTTTTGAAAAGAAAGGTGCTTCAAATGGAAACAACAATCAATCAAAACGAGCATATAAAATGAACGCCCTTACAACCACGGTTGTTACAGATGCTAGTTAAGTCGAAAAAATTTGTAGGGTATTTCAGTTGTTCAGAATCTCTGCGTGAAGATTTTTTGTGTCAACAATTATTACCCAAGCATGAAGGAGAATCATCCAGTCCTGCAGGAAACTGCTAGGTGTATAAAGAGGTCTTACAAAGACCTTGTAAGTTGAGTTGTAATACATTCTTGTCCTTGTTAACGTTACTGAAAGTTAGCAATTCACAGTAACGACCTCCTAACGCAGTGCATCATGAAACTACTGACATACTAGGTAATGACGCTCATGCCTACCATCAGTCCATGACCATAGCTCTGTAAGCAATGACTCAGATTCCGTGTGCTAACAATACTAAGCGAGAACCATGTGGCCACCAGGGTAACGCGAAAGGCAGACACTTGACACAAGCAAGATACTGGAGATCGTATGAGGCAAAACGTCGAACATGCCTTGTGCATTCGGTCGAGGTTGTCGGGCGCGCAGTAGGCGGCGGTGTCCGGGTGGTCCCGGTGCACCCACACGGCAGCCACGGCGGCGTGGCAGCCCTGCGCCACGACGCTCCCCAGCGGCCACGCGTCCGCCAGGTCGCGCCGCAGCACCACGTATTGGACCAGGACGTCCACCACCTCCTTCGCGCCCTCCTCGCCAGTGGCGGCGGCAGCGTCCGGAGCAGAGGCGGAGGCGGCGGCGGCGTTCATGCTGGCTCGCGGCAGGATCCCGCGTAGGGAGACCCTGGTGATCGCCGGGAGGACGAAGGCGGCGTTCGGCAGTGTGGCGGCTACCGGTACTGGGAATGACAAGCGAAAGGGGAGGAGGGTCAGCATAGCTGTCAACTTGGGTTTCGTACTCCTTGCATGTTGCATCCTGTCATCTGTTCTTTCCCTTGCATTGCAAAATTTCCTGCTATTTGATTTCCTTTTCGATTCAAATGTTCCAAGCCATGTTTGGCATAACTGAAGTTAATTGGTTGTGCAAATGCAGAATCCATACATTAACAAGCCCCTAGAAATCACGTGTTCATTTTACCTGAATTTTCTTTTCTATACTTGCGTTGTTACAGGAGTATTAAAATTTTGAACGCAATTCAATTGAGAAAAAATAATGAATTAGGAGCCTCAAAATTTTCAAAGCAAACAAAAGTGTGAATAAAATAGTAGATCAAAATCAATCGAGAAATAAATTTTAACTCGGCTAATCAACATACTATTCTAAGGCATTGTTTACTTCATTCCCCTAAAGTTTAATTCATATCCCATCAAATGTTTGGGACACATGCATGGAGTATTAAATATAGACTAAAAAATAACTAATTATACAGTTTACGACTAATTTACGAGATGAATCTTTTAAGTGTAATTAGTCCATGATTTGACAATATGGTGCTACAATAACACATGTGCTAATGATGGATTAATTAGGCTTAATAAATTCATCTCGCGGATTACTGACGGATTCTGTAATTTGTTTTTTTATTAGTATCCGAATACTCCATACGACACCCTCATGTGACACTTGATGTGACACCCCAAAACTTTACGCCCTGAATTTAAACCAGCCCTGTGCCACATTGGCAACAATGCCAAAAAGTGCAATGACCGGTAAGTTTTCCACAACTCTCTTTCACAAAATTCCAAACTAATTAGAGGAGCATGGATTTTTTTTAGATCATTCGACACTACAATCTATCTAATCCTAACATGTTTTGAGCCACAAAGAGACATGAGCACCAATTATTTATTAACCGGGTAAAAGCGACCAAGAAATGAACAGTTATGTTTGATTCTAGGTCCTCTTTGGTGCTAATTTGTCGTCGTAACTATAAATTAATTAATGTACTGTGCCACAAACATACCATCTTCCATCCATCGGTTAAAACTCAAATTGAAATCAACAATCCACAACCAGCCACCCAAGAAAGAAGGCAATGGGCAACATGAAGAGCATCCCCGTTGTCACCTATATTGCTGTGACTTGCCAGTTTCAAACCCCATTGCCTTCTTCGTCCTGCTGTTCCTCTTTGCACAGCTGCTGCCACTGTGACTTGCCAGTTTGAAAATTGAAACCCCATTGCCTTCTTCATCCTGCTATTCCTCTTTGCACAGCTGCTACTGGGTGGCAGCTACAGCACCAGAGTCACAGACAGTTATGTGTATCTTTATAATTTCCTATAAACCAACAAGCATTATTAAGAATTGGGAATGTAAACAATTCAAATGGCGTCCTATATTTTGTAGATCAAAGCCAAAAGAATAATATTCGCCAAGATAGTAACTTCAATGATAGCAACACACATGCTACATCATTAGCTCTGAATTTCTATTTTTTTCAAAGAGAGAGGAAAACTCTGAACTCAGCTCTGAATTTCTAATCTTCTCAAAGAGAGGGGAAAACTCTGAACTCCTGAACATTGAGTACATTAGCTCTCAATTTCTAATCATCTCAAAGAGGGGGGGGGGGGGGAGGACTCTTACCTCCAAAACATGCCTAGTACAGACTGAATGTCAGCTTGATGAAGTGCCTATATTCAGAGAATGCCAATGCAGATTTAATGTGTTGATTGTTTCTTCTGTCTGGAAAATGAGGCTGCTGGAGGTGGAAAGATCTGTAGAACATATTGCTCAAATCAAGAGAGGTTTCAGAGTATTAAAAAGGTGTTCATCCTATCAGAGCGCGCATATGATTTAAGCATGTATTTGAGAGATTGTTTGAAATAAGCAAGTACACAGAAAAGATTTAAGTAAATTAAATTGGGAACAAGCAAGCAGCTTACAATTAAATAAAAAAGATTAACTCAATGGAACACAGAGGCAAGAAATAAGTAACTAAAGATTATCACATATACAATGAATTCATGCTAAACTATAAAATCAAAGGAAAAATGGTTAGCAGTACATTAGAGCTGTATGTGACCCATGAGTAAAAAGAAAGAGAACAAATTCAATTTTGCGATAACAAAGAAGATGGTTCCTACTTTGCGGGGACTGTAGTTCATCTTCTCTGTAAGGCCAGTGTGCTTTGCACTTTGGAGTTTGGACTTTGGAGATGTGTGCATGAATATATCTTTCTCTAAAAACATGGGTTACTTAATAAGCATAAAAAGTACACATGAATTCAGCAAGCTCTTGTAAGAACACTGTAAGGGCCCTCCTGGGGGAGGGGGCTTCGGTTATGGAGGAGGGGTGGCGGCTAGGGTTAGGAGGCGTGGGAGAGGGGGATGGCCCAGGGAGAGGGAGGGAGTTGGCAGGGAGAGAGGGGAGAGGTAGGGGAAGGAGCAATTGCTCTTCTATTGCTTAGATTGGATCGATTACATCTCTCCTATATTTATAGTCTATACAGGACTTGTGTTCCAAACTATGGGAGATATTCTTATAGATTGGATCCTCCTTTCCTAAACAAACCAAACTCCTATATTAATCAATATGCGGCGGCGTGCTACGTTACCGTGGGTGAACAGTACCCGTGGGTTCTGTTCACGCCGAGTCTGTTTTGGCCCGATAGGGGGCCTTAGCCGAGACCTTGTTCCTATGTGGGGGCCCATCCATCAGGCGTATGACATCACCCCCTTCTCCACTTAGCGCGTCCTAGCGCTGAAGCAAGGCCCAATCGTTGACGCCGTCTGGTGGAAAAGCTTGCCCTGGTAGAATGGCCTCAACGTGGACGAGGAGGCGACCACGACTGGGTCAGCTCGGATCACGTTGTCCCTCGTGCGGTCGATGATGAACTCGAGACAGTAGAGGAGGTTGCCGATCTAGTCGTGGAGGTAGAAGCTGCATGGTGCGTGACCTCCCAGGGATCCTGTTGCCTGGTGGGCTGCTATGAGCAAGGGATGGTGGATGGCGGCGTCGATGGAGAAGTGGAGCATCTCTTGTGGTGGTGCAGCGAAGTCATGTATGCTGTTGGCGACGTTGGGCAGGGTGTAACTATGGCAGAACCGTCCGAAATAACACACCTTCGGAGGCCCTTGTCTTCCACTAGACACTAAGCACCCCGAAAGTAAGCTATACCAGGCGGTTCCATCGAGCACACCCCAAGGGAGAACTCGAACAATCCATGTTTTTCATCCAGAATCTAATAATGAGAATGAGTTTACAATACTTAGTCAATTTCATACAACAAGAGTTCTCGAAAATACATTATTACAATACCAAGTTCAGAGTGCGGAATTTAAACAGCGGAATTGAAATAAACATCTAACGATAAGATACAAGAATCCGTATGTGTCCACTAGAAGAACCCTTCACACAACGCCACTCATCAAGCTGCATCTGCAACAGGGGTAAATAAACCCTGAGTATACAATGTACTCGCAAGACTTACCCGACTAGTGGGAATAATTTCTCGACTCCAAAGGAAATGATAAGCTTTATGGTTTGCTGGATTTCTTTTTTGCGAAAAGCATTACTAGTAGTGAATCCTTAGGTATGTGTTTATTAGCAGTCATGATTAGTTAATTAGCTGACCATTCTATGTAAGCACCTGTACTACTTTCAAGCAAGAGTTGAGCAATCAGATACATTTATCCCATTTCATCTTTTAGTTCTTACTATGGTGCTAGACCCTAGCCAAGTTGTACCGTATTACACGGCGATTCGCAAACCAATGTATCATAGCTGGGTACCCCGAAACACACGCTTCGCTTGTACCCCAGGCACAAGCAAGACCAACCCACCACTCTCCTATCAAGGGGTCTAGGTCCCCGTCCAAACTTGGACTCTAAGCCCCCACTCCTGAGTCCCGGACTAAGTGTGGTGCTTAGACCTCCACCATCCCCACCTCCAATCAGTCGGTCCGGAAAGAGCCGAAACCCATGACAAGAGAACAACGAGCCTTCCCGCTCCCATAAACAAGTATGTGCTCAGGATAATAAGTCTATGACCTGACTACCATCAACAGCAATGGACGATCCTTAACCGACACGGACAGAGAAAATAGTGTAATCAAGCTATACCCCGTTGGCTGTGGGACACAACCTATTACACCCACCAATATCCGTACCATATTCCTGTCCGGTCTCCATTTCTTTTCACCATTTTATCATGAAAGTAATAATAATAATCATCTATTGTGAGTAACGGCAGGTTACTCACGCTATCGATAGCCTAAGCATAGCAGCTACTTGACCTATGCTAGTAGGACTCATAGGTAGGTTTATCTATGCATGTAGTTCAATATAAATCATGTAACGTAAATGCACATCACATATATATATATCCAGTGATTATTCAAAATAAGGGTTATGCACCGGGGCTTGTCTTGGGCAGGCGGATTGTCAGCTAAGTCAGTCGCTGGTGGGTCCGAGGCTTCCTCCTGTATGAGGACATCCTCCTCGTACTCCTCGATCACCTCCTCGTACTCCTGCTCTCTCGGTGGTCACGAACTCCACCAACTCATTCTCTACATGCATGCAACGATGACGCAACATTTAATATTTTAGCAACAACAGCTCTTAAAATAAGAATACATCTACTAATCTATTAAGCTAACTCTAATGACTAAGATACTAAGCTAACTAGTATTTTTACCAAAACAGGTATGGATTCATCTAACAGGTATTAACTTAGCAACTAAAATGTAATCTTACTCTTATTAGCGATTTAACTTATATTACAACAAGGAGCACCTAACTATCCTAGTGCTTAGCCTATTCTAGGGCTACAAAAATTACACAGAGCACATAGTAATACCATGAAGCTACTGT